TTACAGGCTACGAAGATTCTCACCATGTTTTTGTCCGGCGCGACGTATAGTAATTTTTACAAATACAATGCGCTCTTATCTCTTAAATGCCTGTCTAAGCACCTGTCGTTTTAGACAAATAATTACGTATTTATCGCAATAAGTTACGTGTCGCTACTTATTAGAAATGTGTTTGCAAATGTCTTTTAGCTATTTCTGTGAGAATAATTTATATTATGTAAAGATAGATTGACGACGCAGAGAGATATTCTCATTTATATTTCAAAATCAAGGTGCAGTCTCGAAGAGAAATAAAAACACGTTAATATATTTATAGCTTGAGATCTTCATACGATATACTGCCAGCAAACGCAAACATTTTGTTTTAACTCATACCTGCGGCATATTTGTGTATTCTTGCCATATTTGTATAATATCGACAACGAAAAGCGTGATAATTAATAAAAATATTTACGTAATAAAGATATGGATTACAATTAAAAACTAACAGATTAAAATGATTTAAAGATTAAATAAAAAGATATCATAAAATTTTATCATGACATGCATAGTTAACATATATCTTGTTTTCTTTATGAAAATTGCTGAAGGCTATATTTTAATAAGATCACACACAAGTACAGCGAATAAAGTACAATAGCGATATCTCCGTATCGCATTAACGATACGATATTTGTCATTAAATTATTAAAGAAAATATGATAATCATAGCACAGTGAGGTGATGCAATAAATTAAATATGCAATAATAAATGTTTCTACGTCAACTTTTCGGATAATCTGAAAAGCATCATCGTATCAGACTTGTTACTGTCACGTAATAAGTGACATCTTCTTTATAATCAAAACGCTGACAAATGTTGACGCGAATGTGCAAAACTTTCTATAGAATTCGGTGTTCGTGAATCCACGCTCGAAATATAGGAAACTGAATGTGGAATTTAAATTATGCACGCTGTGTCTTGCGACGCGCCGTTAAATACATTTAGCCGATTGCTCGCGCGCTTTATAATGGCAGGAGTCCACGACGACGAGAGCAGTCGCCTTCGGCTTGCACGCGGCCATTATACCGGCTCTTCCGCATCATAAATTATAACGGCTGGTACGCTCAAGCCGGAAGATTCGCAGGAAGCGGGCACGAAGCCGAAAACAACAGCGTGATCCACATTGCAATCGACCCGTGAAATGCATTTTCGCGAAATTACCAGCGGCCTGTGAATGAACACGGCGCGATGCGGCGCGCGACGCGACCGATTCGAAAATTCGTCCAAATCCTGGCTACATTGGACATACGCAATTACTTTTAATCAAACTGCCTGTTGTTTGCAGGCCACCGTGTGTCGATGCGGTCACTGAACGCACGACTTAACGGCATTCGACCCAGGCAGGCCCACAAGCTCTCTATCTCTCTTTCTCTCTCTCCCTCTTTGTGTGTCTATATCCCTTTTTCTCTCTTGTTATTAACGCATCGCACATTTGTCCATTTGTGACTAATCGCACCGGTGAACAATAGCTGACGCAGTTATAGCATGAGCAAGGTCTCTCATTTTAATTCGATGACGCGGTTAAAAAATTGTTTCTTACGATGATAAGAAAGTATTATGAAATAAAGATGCTTCAAGAATCATTTCCCAAGAAATCTGAATCAAAGAAAAATAGAACAATTATTTCAAATCGCCTGACTGACTAATCAAAGGTCTGTTATTGCTTAGCGTTAATTTACATTTGGAGAATTATAACATATATAACATATTTAAGATTTAATTATTCAAATACCTGTTTTCTAAAAAGAATTGAAATTATTCTACGTATGACAAATTGAAATTTTGAACTGTAAAATATGCTTTTAATTAATTTAATTAAAATTATAATTATAATTTTATATAATTTTATTTACCTAAGGCAACGATTTTATTATAATAAATTCGTTTAACATGTTTATTAGTTCAGCTCTCGTTGCTAACTCAGTATTAGACGAAAAGAATCAAAATAATAACAAATTAAAATTTTTAAACTAAACTAGGTTTTTAATTAAATTTAATAGATTTAATTATAGTTATATAATTTTATATTTATCTAAAGCAGCAATTTTACATTCATTTAATATGTTTATTGTTTTAATCCATGACTTGACTTAGCGTTAGACGATAGATTTTAGATAACAACTATCGCAATACATAATATGTTGCAGTAGTCGGAAATACCTAAAGCGATAATAGGCGCAAGGTTAAATTCATATGTGGAGAGACGACAAAATGGATGTCGCATAATGCTACATTTATCTATTACAATGAATAGTTCGTGTCTATTTTTGCTACGTTTTTGCGCAGAACATATGTGAATAGCGTGCATGGTAAATTTATCAAAGTAACGAAGCGAAGAGTGCGTGTTCGTAGCTTATACCTTATTCGAGACGATGAAAAAAAATATATGAATTACACGATTCCAACTATTCTTAGAAAATAACTTGATTATATAAATACGTGGCCCTGACTTAACCAAGGTCCGATCACAATATAATTTCATATAATATATGAATATAATTTCATCGCACAATTACTTTTATCAACATGTAAATAACTACGAAATTTATAGATCGCTTTTGCGAATACTGGAACGCCGCATTGGAAAGACGTAATTTTTACTCTGAACATATTTTACTTTTATATTAACTTTGAAACGCAAATATATTCTCGAGTATATATTTGTGTAGCTTTGCATTTCATATCTTAATATAATTTTTAAGAATTATAAGTATTCTTTAGAAATAATTTCTTTATAAAAGCAAAGATTACAATACAAAACTAAGTATGTAAATGACTATAATATATGTGTATGATTAGGTTCTGTGTAAAAAATGACACTGTATTACACTGTATTAACCCTTCAATGTTACACTTCAAAAAATCCAATAGTTAATCTGGTTAACATTTAAAAAAAAATTCTAAATGTGTTAACTTTGGAAAAATAAGTTTTATTACTTAAAAAAATATAACTTTTTAAATTTATAATATTTTCAAATGCAGTATTGGCCTAATCTTCTTGAGATGATTCATGCTTTGGTCATTTTGACTCACAGTGACCATGAAGGGTTAATACATATTATGTATTTTTGTATGCAGTATATAGGGCTGGGTACATTTCAAATACTTGTATTTGAAATACAAATTGTATTTCAAATATTGTATTTAAAATACAAATGTATTTTGTATTTTATATTTCAAGAAGATCATATGATATATTTTGTATTTCAAATACAATTTCAATGTGTTTTATATTTGAATGCTAAAAAAGATCCTTGATAATAATCTTTGAAGCGAACAGACTTACTGGCTGCATTCGGAAACGTTAGAGTTATGGCAGAAAACGAAATGTAGAATTATGGCGCGTAACGAAATGTAACTGTCGTAGTCGTGACTAGTCGGAAAAGTACCGGGTACGCAAAAAAAATTTGAAAGAATATTGTACTAAAAAGTATTTTATATTTAAAATAAAAAAAATTTTAAATACGTATTTTGTATTAAAAAACAAAACATTTTGTATTTGAAATACAAATTTTGAACATATTTTGTATTTGAAATACTAAAAAAAAAACTTTGTATTTAAAACAAAGAATTTTAAAATATTTTGTATTTTATATTTTAAAAATATATTTCGTATTTGAAATATTCATTTTGAAAGTATTTTGTATTTTGTATTTCAAACACTTTGATGATGTATTTTTGCTCAGCCCTGAGTATAATGTATATTTTTAGACGCAAAACCGACCACACATATATTTTGTAGAGCTACTTTCAACTTTTTACATATATGAATTTGCAGTGTAACCTTTAAAACTAATGATTAAGTGATGACTAAGACCTAGTAATACTAAAATTACAGACTTCCGTAAACATTTTTGTTGCTTTGCATTTTCATGTCTTAAAATAAATTTTGAGAATTATAAATATAGTCTTTTAAAAATGATCTCTTTATCTAAAAGCAACTTGTTGAAGATTAACATTTATAGTATAATGATACTAAAACTCGGCAGCAATTATTCGAAGTAATTTGTCACGTCTTCGCAGTTGTAAAAGTAGCTCGTGCGCGCGTGTCTCAGGGTTAAGCATCTCGTCAGGCAAGTCTCGTCTGGTTCCGAAGTTTCTCGACGGTTCATGTAACAGACTTCTTACGCGAAAGCGCGCAAGCATGGCAAGCGGTACACCGATGCGTGCGTAAGGCGGCCCGCGTGTACACATAAGCTTGTTGTGAGACGCACGATAATTATCGTGTTCCGCTGCGCTAGTTCGCCCGCCATCGTTGTACCGTGTGGTTTCTGTAATAATAATAATCCGCACATAATACACGCGCAAGAGGATGTACGCACACACGTGCGTACGATTACGCACGTATATACAGTTGCGTATACGCATATCACCACCGCGTACACCACGTGCGTGCGATAAGGATCCTCAGTGCGAACCGCCGCCTCCTCTGACCCGTTTTCATCAAAATTACACAATTTCTCAACGTCTCGGTCTAAACTTGAAACTGTTATTCGCGCCATTTATCTTCTCGCGTTTTTTTTTTCTTGGAAAGTCTCGTGAGTAATGATTTTTTGAACTAAGCTGATGACAGGCACGATAACGTTCGCGGCGTTTACCCGGAACAAGAGTGTTATTCATGTATTATGTATAATACTTAGTTTGGTACTCGTATAATTATCAGTACATGCGCAATTGCTCGGCGAGCGCTGTAAAAATCAAAGATACGATTGTTTGTGCACGCCGTACTTTATACTTATTATTCCGGTGGCGGTGTAGAATTATAAAGATCGCCTTTACCGAGAAAAGGCTGTGACGTGACTCAAAATCTCGCGCTGCGATCACGTGACGCGCACCACGTGACGACTGATCGGCACTGATTGGCGCGGCCGCGATCGGGGGATCACATATAGCCGCGGCGCGGACAAAAGCCGCGGGGCAAAGCGTCGGTGTTTTCCACTGTCCGGTCTGGTCTGGCAAGTAACCTTGATCCTTTCGCGAGTCGTACGTGACAGTCATCGTTCGGGTGGACCGGTTAGTGTCGATCGAGACATCGTCGAGGTAGCAAGCGATTCTTGGCAGTTTTACGAGTTATCGACGTTCCCTGTATGCGACAGGATGAAAACGTTCGTCCAAGTTCTTCTCGTTGTGGCGTGCTTTGTCGCCTGCACACGCAGTTTCCCAAGTGAGTGCGATATTATTCTTTTAAATTAACGAATTGCTTTTTTTTTCTTGTTCGTACATCGCGAATATAAAGTTTGAATTTGCACAGTGCGACGAGCTGCCGTCAGAAATTTACTGCTGACATCAGCGTTTATCGTATATCAAAATACCTTATAAAATTTCTGTTAACCTTCTGATATCAATTTTTAGCCTTGTGTCGATTGCCATGAACGTGATTATATTTCTTAATTAAGTTCTTGTCTCAAGAATTCTCGCGAAGAAATCGTTCTGTATTATTCTTCTTAGCAAAGTATTTTCTCGTTTAATAATCACTCAATGCAAATACACCTGTTACAATCGAATCTAATTAAAGACAATTCTTTATGATTGTAACTTAGCTTTATAATTGCAATTAACTTTTGAATTAAACAGTAATCGACATGATTATCCGTCATTTTCATTGATTAAATATTTTATAGAATAATATAATTACATACTGTCTCACACACACACACACACACACACACACACACACACACATATCTCTTTTTATATAGCTTAATTTAGAATTGCCGTTTAACTACGGTTTAGAGCTGCCATTCGTAATCCTCTCAAAGTAGTTTATTTATAACTATAAACCGGATTATTGAAGTTAAGTAATGGAATATTCTATTGTACTATAATCGGCTCTTTCGATTCCATGGACGAAATGGCGCAACTATGCTCCAAAACGCTATGTTAAATCAATAAAAGTCGATGTGGTAAAAACGAATTTAAATTTAATGCCGGACAGCGAATTAATAGTGAATATTTTCAAACACATTTCGTTCATAAACTGAATAAGCAAATATTTCAGTTAGCCTGTAGATTCAGATTTGCGCATAAACATATTTATTATATTTGACTTCTTGTCCTTTTTAAATCATAATAATAGATAAGATAAGTGCACTCTGATATATAATATTATATGCCAAACAATCTCAGAATTTATAATATTAATATTTATAATATAACATAATATTTATAATAATTTTATATATTAAATTAATTTATATATTAAAATATTTTTACGCGAATGAATTATTGAATCTTTTAAAAAAAAGGGGAGAGAGAATATAATAAATAAAGAAAATTCAAATCTTTACGCATTTTGCATTGTAATTACGATTGTAATCATAATCGTAATAATAAGTGATAAAAAACGCAATCTACAGCTTTTACGCTTATTTTCCATACATCCGACGTTTATCGCGGCTCCGTTCGTTGCATTGAGCGATTCTTCGAGATTATTTGCATTCAGTTCACGACATTTATGCGTCGTTATAAGGCGAGACGGGTGCCCCCGACGGGCGAATATCGCGATTGAATGTCAGGTCACGAAGAAATCGTGGAAGCAGATAGCACGCTCGAACTACTTAAGGCCGTTGTTTACTCGATTACAACTCGATATGAAATTCACTTCCAGCATAGACTTTGCTAATTAGCATCGGATCCGTTTTTGCGAGACGGAAACTGCAGGAAGCTCGTTTAATTGGAGCTGCTTCGTCCCCAAGATAATTGTCCGAGTGAATTCCCGTCGAACTCCAATTTATTCCTCTTGATTTTAATGTAACTTTATCTCTCGGACCGACATTTGTGTGTCTGAAACGTTTTCAACCATGCGGAAATCTTCCCAAAAATAAGTCGATCTGACTTTCGGCAAATTGCGAATTACGATTTTGTCGCTAACTTAAGAGAGAGAGACTCTTCTTTACTAGAATTGAGAATTCAATTCTTATTACACTTTACGTTATAATCGTTTAAACATCGATCTAACATGTTGATTTTTAAATACAGCAATTTTTAATATAATAATTTTCCAAATATTGAGTATAACAATCTTTTAACTAAACAACAGATGTTTAAATTATTTAAATGAATATTGTTCATTGCTTATGGAATTTTAATTTTTATACATTTTTTATACAATATTAATAATAAACTTTTATCTTGGCTTTGTTACTTTTGTGCAGTACATTTAGGAATGTGAACGCACATTCATTTTCGCATCTGTTTAAAAATATCGTTTATGATTTTTGCGACGCGAGCAGCTCCGCGTCTAAAACAGATTAACGAGTTTGCATTCGAATAATTGTACATGCATAAATGCATGCCGCGTTATTGCGGAGAGCAACATTTGTAAAACAGTCTCGGAACTTTGTGCATATTCGTTGAAGTACCAAATGATAGGAATATTTTAACCAGAGGCATCGTGACACGCCACGCGTATTGCGTCATTACGCTCTAAATAACTTTGAGCGGTGAAACAACAATCGAAGCTTACAGATTGTTAATTATTATTGCAAAAGATACCGGAGAAATACACGTGGACGATAGTTCAGCCTCGGAGGAGAACTTTCGCAATTGTTGAATCATTAGTGTCCGGTCGTGGCAACGCAGGCGGCATAAAATCATACAATCAAATTTCTTTCGTCACGAGTGAACGTTACAGTGTCTGTTATTACTTGGGTGAGGAGTATGACGCCTCCGGCGAGGTGTTTCTCCTAACGTGATGCACCTGCCAGTTTTCATGCCGCGGAATTTCGCCGTTACGACGCGGTCTCCGCAGGAGAGAACGTCTGCTCTCATTACGCTCGCTGACAGTCGGGTGACAGCCGGATAATAATGTAATTTTTGAGACTTCCCCGGGACGGCGACTTGCCAACAAGCTACGAAAATCGAGTTTCGGTGAGTTTCGATCGTGGTGACGAAGCTTCGCTTCGTCCCGCAATCGGATAGATAGATATTAGGCGAGTTTGTAAGCATCGAACAACAACAACGCGAGAGTTCGTCACGGCGGTGTATAAGCAGATTGCGCTTCATCCTATTAAGAATACATAATCGTCGCTGCTAGGTAATCTTACTATTCGGTAATCGCGCGTCGCCTTCGAGACGAGCCTGCGTAATCACCTGCAATCGTAAATCTCTTTCGTGTAACAAACATGACGTGTTTGGCACCATTGCGAGCGCGGCGAGCTCTTTGCTTCACTCTGCGGTTCGTTTGTGCGAATAATAATTGTACTTTATATAAAAATTGAAACGCAATAAGAAAGGAAACATATTTACGCTTGCTAATTAATTATATTACTTATGCTTATTAATTATATTCAATTTATATACATCAAAGAGTTATATAAGATAGACGCGTATATAATGTCATAACTTTATATAAAATTACGTATAGACTTAAGTCTGTATTCATAATTAGTTTTTATATATAAGACCGTATATTAAGTTTCGAGATGTCATAAGTTAATCACAAAGCCGTATTAGCATTTTAAGACATTATTTACAACGGTTTTACAATAAAAATAAACTATAAATACCTTAGGTATACTTTCTTACATTTAAAGGCGGCTTGGACAATGTACGCCAACTTTATGTACAATCGCTAAATACTGACCTACATTCGTATAGATAATTATGCATGTCATGTGTGCATATGTGTGCATTTAATATTTACTAATGTTGACGTACATTGACCATGTCATCTGAAGCCGCCTTAATCAGAGAGTTAATGCTCATCAATTTTACTCAACGTTACACGCTCGAAGCTTTCATAACGCTGATGTACCAACATGCCTTTCATCTCGTTACATCAATCGCGATTGTAATCTATTAATAAGTATTTGTTTTTTTTTCATTCAGTACAATAGCGCGAGTCATCATCATATTACACAGGCGAATCAATTCGCATTCGCGTAAAAATGCGCCACGTAAATCACTCAGTCTGCACGACGCCAATTACAACGGGGAAAAAAGTCGTGACTAATTACTTCCGTCACCTAGTTCGGTCTCCGAGTAGTTGATTCACGTAGCGTCGCATATCTATTGCACAATCCGGTAATGTCATTCCTTCTTCCTATGTTCCGCATCGCGTTCGACGAGCCTCCCTTTCACCCGCTCGCTTTACACGTGCAATTGCACCGATCGGTGCACGTGCATATATCATACTGTCCACGCATTGTACGTACAATGCGGATGTATGACGTATAGCGTACACGATAGCGCAGCATAATGATTACAGGGCAAAGAGCAATAATGCACTCTTGATCGCACACTTTTATTGCCTCTTATTTTTCCTGTTAAGAAATTCTTTTTCCCTTGATTTATATAATTTTTATATTAACCCACAACCTCGTTAAAACATCACTTAGGGTTGCCGCAGACAAAATTTCTGTAACAGTAACATTAAGACACGAACTTAAACAAGCTGATGAGCCAATCAGGAAATGGAAATAGCAGTAAACTTATCTATGAGGCGTTTCAACCGGTTGAAATTCGCCTTATCGCGAGGATATGGATAAGTTTACTGTTATTTCCATTTCCGTTAGATTACGTAGACTGTAGATCTAAAGCAATATCCTGATTGGCTCATCGGTTTGTTTTTATGTCTTACAATCACTGTTGCGGAATTTTGTGTGCGAGTCACAGTCCTTCTTGCTACTGTATGTATGACTTACGTAGAAAATAGAAGTCATAATAATAACATATGGGCGTCATCATGATGACCTTATCATCATTTATAAGTTCACTTTAAATTATATAAATATGTATATCGTTTTTATCACTCCACAGTAAAACACGGTCCTAATAATATCTTAGGACGTCATCATGTCCTTATTTATTATTTATAAGTTCATTTTAAATTTCAAATTATATAGATATATTATTTTTATTATTCCTGAGATAGAAGATAGAATTATAATGATACAAGTTATCATAATGTTCTTACTTGTCATTTGTAAGGTCTTTTATAAATGACAAATAAAGTTACGATGACGTCTTCTAGTATCGTTAACTTGTGTTCTACCTGAGAAATGATAAAAACGACATATCCGTACAATGTGGACATATACCTTTACTTTATATTTCGCTCAGAAAAATTTGAAAGAAACGACGGAAGACATTTCTACCGAGTATCATTATTTTGCTGTACCTCTCGTAACTCCATACGTGGAGTGTCCTTGTAGCTTAGTTTGT